GTATTACGGGTGTAAAAGATAATGTCGAAGTGATTCCTGCTATCAATAGTAACTTTTCATATCATATATCTGCAGGATTACGAGACGGTAAGATAGACAAGCTCAAGCTCCCCTCCTCTATAACCCACGTGAAATTCTCACGATGGGCAACTTCTAACATAACTTCACATTCAGGCACAATCATCGTCGGCCAAAACAACATATCCCATCCCATCGCCCCAACATTCGTACCCACCCAGCCCGTTAGCCCAGCTACATGGAACAAGCGACTATCCGTCGACCTCCATGCCCACGACCTCATCGAAGACGCCAATCTCCCCGGCTCTCTCCCCACCCTCCGAAAACAAAATATAGATTTCCAAAAATCACACACGGAAGAATTATCCAGTCCCATCGAAAGAATTTGGTACATCAATCCCTACGGACAAGAAATTAGACCAGCTCCCAACACCAAAGTACTAGAAGCATTAGAAGACGCCACTTGCGTTATATATAGCATAGGATCACTCTACACTTCCATTCTTCCCTGTCTTATTCTTAGAGATGTTGGTCAAGCGATTGCGGATCCGATGATTAAATTCAAGGTTCTTATTTTAAATGGCTGTTTAGATCGCGAAACTCCGGCATACACTGCGAAAGATTTCATTCAAGCGATTGTCCGCGGATGTTGCGGGAACGGAAATGGAAATAGCCATGGAAAAGACGAAGATGAATACGAAAATAAGGTAGGAGAAGGAGAATGGAAGAAGTATATCACACATGTGGTATATCTTGAAGGGCCAGGAACACCTTCGGTAGACCGAGCTGAGTTGAAGAGATTGGGTATTGAAGCCGTGAGGGTTTATGGAAGGAGAGCGGAACCTGAAGTTGTCATGTTGAAGAATCCCGTGATTGATTTGCTGAAGAGTGAAGATGAGGTGAGTGGTCATATGAATGTTGAAGAGATTGTGGGGGCTCTGGGTGGGGATAGTGCGGGAATGAAATATGATGGCGTGGGTTTGGGACAAGCGCTGGAGGCTATTCTTGGCGGAAAGGGGGATAAGGGAAGAAGATATACTTATCTTGGTTAATCATTATTAGAGATGTGTTATAGAGGTCGAGGTTGAGTGAGAGTATTTTTATACAACGATACTGTCCTTTGAAATGAATGTTTGGTTTCTCGTCTAATGAGCCTAACCCGAAAGACTACGGTTCACCGTTGCCAAAAGTCAATACGCAACCAGATTACCACCTGAATCAAATACCCATGCTACCTCAACTTCCTACAGCACCCGGGTACCTCATCTCCTTTCAAGCTTTATCATCCCCACCCCCCTCATCTCCCCTGCCTTCCTCATCCTCCGAATCCCCCTCATCATACTCATTTCCAGACAAGGGATCCTTATCCAATACCCTCTCGGGATCCGGAATCCTCATACCCCAATTATAAGTTTGCGGATCCAAGCCGGCCTCCAACATCTTCCAATAATTTTCCTCGCCCATCCACATATCTCCCAGCCTCTCATAATAGCGCATCAACTGCAGATTCCTCGTGATACTCCCGGGAGTATCCCTCAAGTGCTCGGGAATATTAACACTGGGTCTCTCTTCGAGGATCGGATATCCATGCGGGTGACGACGCGGGACTTGGGGCCGACTGCGCGGAAAATCATCCGGTAGTAAATGGTGAATGTCATCGCCCAGATAGGGGTCATCTACATAGTATTGACCGTCCGAATCGCGGCCTCTCATTTCCGGCGATAGCTGGCGGGGGCTGGGAGGTGGGATTTCATCTTTCCACTCGGGATAGGGGGTCAACCAGCTGGGGACGGGGGTTCTCGAATGGGGTCGCGCGACGCTGGTGTTGGCGAAGATGGGATGGACTTTGGGCCACGTTCGCGAGGGTCTTTGGGGATCGTGAGGGCCCTTGAAGTTCGCTTTGCAATTTTCGTAGCCCTCGCGAACTATACACCAGAGAGTTTTAGGCAGAGGTCGTTGGCTGGGACTTTCCCTCATGCATTCTATGATGACGTCTTTCAACGCGGCGCTGTACTGGTTGCGCACGACTTTATCCTTTGTTTTGCGGAGAGGTGCTGCATATGATAGTGGGTGCTTCTCCGAATACTCCCCGAGACCCAGAATGAAATCTTCATCGGTGGGAAGAAGGTGCGTGCTGACGGATTGATCTCGAAGCATCAGGACGCGCAGTATATTGGCGAATTGGAATATATTGCTACATGTTCCATGGCGGAAGGGATTGACCATCTCGGTCTCGGCGAGGAGTGCTTCCTATGGATGAAAATGAATGTAAGCGCCATGGATGAAAACAAAACAGAGGAGATTTCCAACTCACGGGTGCCCGGTAGCCTTCTCGGCCATTGTCTTGATTTGGAAATCTGTAACGTCCGATTTCCGCTTGCATATAATGCGTAGGGACCTGGAGTGCGTCTTTAAAATCACAAAGCTGTGAAGTTTATTATTTTCTCGCTCTCTCGGCACACTCATGATGGGACGCACCTTAAGCGTAGGCAGACGATCACCCTCAGCTTCTCGATACCCAATCAAAACTGCATGTTCGCGTCAAAATCCATCCCACCAATGCGACTAGGAAAACTTACTATTTCTCGGCTCAATATTATAATGACAAATCTCTGATTTTTCCCAGAACGGTAGTTGCCTGTCACCACTCGTCCCTTCATCGATGGGAATTTCATTTCCATTATCCAGCATCATCAGCATCCTCGTAAACTGTTTGAAAATCCCCCAGATGTCTATCTCGGCAATCGGTTCAATGTCCTGCCTATCAAAAACCTCTAAATTGTACCACCTTTTGCCTTCCCAGGTAACACCTGGACAATATTCCAAAAAATTTACACTACGTCTTGGTTCCGATTCTGGTTCCGGTTCTGGTACCGATTCTGGTTCTAATTTTTGTTTCGATTCTGCCTTCCGTCTTTCTCCCGGTTTTGGTGGTTTTGGTCCCACTACTTGTTTATTATATAGCCTCAGAATATTTTTCGGACGTCGAGGTTGTCCTATCCGAATAGGTCCATGTTTGCCGAAGAAATTGTCCGGACGAAAATATAATCCAGAGATCACTTCCAAGAACTCTCCTTCTTGTCTGGCCCCGCTATAATCTTCTGGGTAGCCATTGCGTCGTTCGCGATGGAGTGGTTGATAGCCGATTCTGAGAACTACATCCCTAGTGTGAGGAGCAACGCCGCCTTCATATGTGTAGTGGGCGTAGAGTGCAGAGGTACCATTGTGGATTCGCTCTTTGAATTTCCAAAATTGTCCAAGAGGAGTGTGCCAATGTAAATCGGCTTCCCTAAATGCTTGAAACCCAGCAATGGTTTGAATTGGATCGCCTTCGCTGGCCATGATGAAAAAGTATTCGAGTTCTGAAATTGATATGGAGTTTGGTGTAGAAAGCAAGAAACGTATCGAGGTGCTAAATGTATAATTGTCTGAGACAAAGGGTACTAGAAATTATTTTCAAATTCAATGAAAACCCGCAACCGGTTAAGACAGTACAAAGCAACTTGCTCGACATAAGAAACCATTACCCGATACAGCTAATCCAAACAAAGAAGTGAAGATTTCTTATTGTACAAATCGTGAGCTTTATCTTATTGTGAACATTCTCAAACAAACTACGCTGAAGAATAATTGTACTGTACATATGGGTTGACTTTGGAAATCCCAAAACAGAATAGCCACTTCTCATACTGATGATGTGTATGTCAAATATAATGTTCAATTGCTCAGATATCGGTGGATGAGTAGGATGTGTTGATGTCCATGATAGACGAGAATTGGACAGACTAGGTACTGTATGGATTGTGTTGTAGCTCCAAATTGGCTTAGCGTGTTTTCCTAAATGATCAGTACCCAACTAAAGGTTACTTTTACTCTTACTATTACAGTAAGTGCATACACGGAAATCGATTCTTTAAAGATTTCACGTGAGATTTAACCTCCAGCATCATGTTATTCATGATGCGAAGCTCAATTTTGTGCGTAAAACAAATCTCCTCGGAATCCCGAGATCTTAATATGAGGTTGCTAGTGCAACTTCTGAAATGATGGCACAACCCCAACATTTTCCAGTCTGGTGTCACATTGGGTTAACACTTTAGTATCACGACTGACGCGTTCCGATGATCATCGGTCTTTACTATATCTTCAAGTCATATCAACTTCTCACAGCACATTCTAAGGACCTTTCAGATGGAAATCACTTTGCCGCGCAGTGATATACATGCTCTACAGGGGAGGAAGACCGCAAGTTTGATCAAGATCAAGGCCACAATAATCCTGCAATTTTCACTGTAGTTCAGCGAGTGAGGATTTCGCGTTTGGCACGCAATCACCAATTGTTGCAACGATCCCAATCATTGCTACAATAGTTCTATCGCGCGATTTTTATCCGAAATGCAGATTTACTTTATTATACTATAGCACTGCCTTTGATTCCCAATACTCGGATGTTCTAAATGTTTTTTTTGGTCATTTGCTATGTGGTTCTCTTTACTATACTTAGTCCTCAAAGTCAACCACGGAGTCCAATCCTCATTGCCATTATTTTATTTGTCGAAGTATTATATGTCTGGGGAACGATTGGCGTCTCAACAATTGGTGTCATATCTTCATTTGAGATTAACACAAGAGCAAAATCTATCTGATAACCTATCATCGATTCGAATTTTCCATGCTCGGCGTCTATTAGCAAGGCCAAATCATATCGTTCCTCCCAGTGCTCATACCTCACCACACCGTTATCTCTGCCTCCCCAACTTCCACTGCCAACCAAATTTCGAATTACACTTACAATCCACTCCCAGTTGAGTCATATCAATGTTTTCTCTCACCATCACTATCTAAGGAGAAGCACATTCCCTCCCCACTTAATTACTCATTCCCCACCACCCCACTGCCCTTGGAAATCAAGTGGGGCTTGCCGATATTGAAATATATACCTAATTTCGTTGTACCGCACCATCAGAACAGCATCTGATTCAGCCCGTTTGGCTTAGCGGTAAAGCGCATCACTAGTACTTGCAATCCATTGCATCCTTCAAATGATGAGATCCTAGGTTCGATTCCTAGAACGGGCAGTTCAATATTTTTCATGATGTGTTCTTTTTTTTTCCTTTTGTTCCTTTTTTTTTAAAAAAAAAAAAGGGTGACGGGGAAAAGTTTACTTTTTTTGAGTTGAGTAGTGGTGAGAGCTGGAGGAAAACTCCTAGGGAGTAAGGTTTTATATTTATAATATGGGTTTTGACGAGAGACCTAAATCTTGTTTATATTTTTATCACTTAAGAAATTGAAGTAATATTTATCAAGGTAATAAACAGTATCTTCGAACATTCTGTTGTCAAGTAAAGAATCAACTTTAGGCTTTCGGCCTTCGAAATTAAAATGCTTTAGAATTAGAATTTTGAAAGCAAACAAGCAAAAAAGATGTCTTCAGATATTGGCCCTGTTGCTTGCATCATTTCTCTCATCACCAAGCCAGCCAGCCAGCCGTCTTCCAACTTCTCGATAATTACTTGCTATGTGGAATATCACATCCGACAAAGTACACATCATCGTTTGCGGTGAGTTCGACCTGATGGAGCGACTCCGATCCGTCCGTACGCTTGGCGTTTACGAAGATACGCTTGCTAAGCAAGGCGCTGGCAGTCCATGGTTTCATCGGATATTCTTTCGTAACGGTCTTTTCAATAAACTCGGTGAATGATCGGGAAGTTGTTGAGGTAAATTGGTAGTCTTTATGATTACAAAGTCAGTATTGCCTTTTTCTAGTCATCTTAAAATAACGGGAGATTTATGAAGATGCAGGACAGGTGTAAGAGGGAGAGGTTTTAGAAGGGTCTTCTTGATCTCCTGAAACAAATGCCCCCCCTTCCAACTTATGGATCGACCCGAATAACAAAAGCGTTTTGATATGTTACTTACTAAGATTCGCACTAAACGAAGCCAACCCAAACCCTCCTGAAGCTGATACAGAAACACCAGCACTTTGTGACATCTCGGAACTTTGTGTTTTGGTTATCCCTGTTTTGATTTCCTTGGTTTCCTTGGGTTCGTTCGGGCCATCATTCACCCATACAGCTTCGACATACCAAGAAATGGATCTTGTTACTGTGCAAAAGGGATTTTTGATGAGAACTAGGCAGCGTTCGTTCTCACAGTCAAAAAAGGAGGTAAAGGGTAGAGTTACGCGGGCTTGCTCGATGAAATTGAACTGGTCTCCGCCACTGAAATAGTTACCGGGGGACATCTTCGGCGCCTGGGAATTGAATATTTTGAATTGGTTCAACACTGGCAAAACGGGAACGTAGGCGAGGCCCAAATCAGGCTTGCTGTAGTTTTTACTTCCCCGGAAATTGTTGGCCAAGAGAGGGATGTTCTCGGAACCATCGATACTGACGCCGTCGGGCTTGACGGCCCACTGCAAGATCGGGCAGTCAGCACTGCCTATCAAAGGAAGATTTTGGAAGAAAATGGGGAGTTAAAGCTGTATTAGGAAACAAAAAGAGTGCATATGAGGAGACATAAAAGTGGTTTGAGATCGGGGACAGAGTTAGGTAACCGATTAAGCTTACAGCGGAGAGGTTAGCGTCTGCGCCAGTGCCAACGTCGGTGTAAAAGGGGCTTGCGTCGTAGTGTGCGAGCTTCACAAGATCCGATCGTAAGCACCAAATATAACCGTCACCGGTAGGCATCGAGTAGTAACTGTTTGTAACAACATCACCCAGAGCTACATAGCCAGGAGGGGCAGTGGGCCTCCAGATTGCACAGTCGTATTTTCCGTGGCTACCTTTATCTATCCAGATTGACTGCCAGCCGATCGGTGCTGCAACAGCCGGACGAGCTGGGTTCGTATTTGGATTCTGCCCAAATAAGGGCGCAGCCCGTACGCCGTTGAGATCTTTGTAACTGGCGGTGGCTACAGCGCCCCTGCAAAATTGCACACTCAACATTTGGAGCACAGAGAATTACTGCAAAATATTGCTTACACAGGCCTGAGGCTTCCTTGGGTGTGTGGGTGGTAAAAAGTAACTTCCTGCTTGCCCCTGTATTCTTGTCGTTCCATCGAAATTCGTAGGAAGAAGTCAAAGTAACGCTAAGATCGCCATAGTAATAAACAGCGTTATCAGAGTATTCTTGAGTGCCTGGTGGTTTCTCAGGCCCAGTCGTGGTTTCGGACATGATTGGTAAGTATGCCTAGAATTTCGTTGGAGATTTGATGGTTGGGTTTTGATATGAAGCAATTGATCAACAGCAGTGGGAGGAAAGATCCCCCATATATAAGATTTAAACAGTAGCAAGACATATATGTCTGGATTCGATGTGATCTCTGCACAGCTAGTGCTGTTCCTCGATAGTACAATTGTTTTACTGCAGGATCCATGTAAAACGGTGATGGAAGTAGTATACGGCGCATTTTCTATGCACCCCTCTCTAGTAAAGCATATAACCTTATTCTATGCATGTTTTAATATATTCTATTGGATTTCATATCACTGGAATTATTGAGTAGCAATCTATTGTAGGCAGTGAGTACTATTACTGGTATTTAAACGTACTAGTATAATATCAAGGGCTTCACCACAGTACTAACTTACGTTACTCTCATCACTGATATGTAATACAATAGTGACGGTGCAACAGAAGAATTTTTCAGTCTCCTGATCCTTCCGCCTATACAATTTTTGTGTAATGCAATAGCAATCAATTTTGCAGCAGGGACAGCCCAATAATTAACGTGCAATAGGAAAGTACAAAATGTAAGATGAGCTGTCTTTGTGCGAGGGCGTTTTGCAGAACCTTTAAGGGTGGCTTGTGTCGAAACAAGTATGATGGTTTTAGTTGATGAGTGACCTGACTGATGTATGTGGTGTAGATTCACTTATTGATATGGCTCAATCTATGAATATGGGTATACCGATATCCATAAAAGGCTATTGGTGCAGATAGAGTATAGCGGAATCGAAGGGAATGAATGTGAGAGGTACAAGAGGCATAAATAATTTGATCGAGAACTTGTTGCGGATTTGAGCTACTGTTACAATGCGGTCATGACAACAAAGCAAAGTAGGTGAGGTTATAGAGTCTTCTTACAACCTTCATGCATCATCACTTCACCACCCAAAACGCAACGGGATAATGTGCCATGATATACTGGGCAGTTTATTACAGTATCACGGTGCAATATACAATACCACAGAATATAACGCCAAGGAATATAGCGCAGTGGATGGAATGCAGCAAAACAGGATCCAATGGATGTTGAGCAGGAATCCATCTCCCCAACAATAAAAGCGCCTGACTCAATTCCCCTAGAAAATGAAGTCTATACAGCGATTGCATCGTTAAGGGGTATATTATGGCGGTAATTAGATTTCATGAGATGTATTATCAACTACGTCGATCCAATAATCACACAGTTACGCGATTCGAGCCCAATTACAACATGAAGTCCGACGACTGTCACCCTGGTGGTTTGGAAAATTGCTCAATGTCACATGAGTCCTTAGGAGTATCGGGCTTATAGAGATCGATCTCTAGGTTCCTTGCACCTCGAATGCCCAAATTCAATTATCATCCATTCGTCACATATTCTGCATGCATGGCATGCATGGTTTGAGGCTCATGTGAGTGATTATTTATGCACGGGTATATGCAAGTGGGATGGATGGATTGGGGGCTGGTATTCATCTAGATATATGTGTAGATTCAAAGAGGTTATTTGATTTTCACTCTATCATGTTTCATGGCTGTTGAATTGAACACTTGGTCGATGGCTCATCGTTCTAGAAGTTGTCTGGGGTACGTGTAAATAGACATCATGGTAATCTCTCGAGGGGGATAGTAACCTAGTCGTTTATATAAGGTTGATCGCTTACGCCATATACTAGGTATCGTGTACCTTATCAGATCATACAGAACAAATATCTCCGTCATTGTTGTATTGGAAGCGATGTGTTTTTTTTTGTGGGAGTGGGCGAGAATGGGAATAGATATACGAGTGTTTTATTGTAGTATAACATCTTGTGATTCCTTACAAAGCCAAGGATCAAAAGGATCAAGAGATTAATGCGCGAACTGGAAGGAGAGGAATAGATGTAAAAGAGGAAACAATAGGTAGTGATAGGCATAACTGTATAGTTAAAGTGGCAACTCCTTATACAGGCCCTAGTTCTCCACCAACACTCTGACTACTATCAAGCCCTCGTTCTTCCTGAATAGCCTGAATAGCAAGAGCAGTCGTGAACCCTCGGTCATATACTTCCTTACCAACAATCGGAATGGTATACATATGCCCCGACTCCCAGCCCCCATCCTCTTCCTGCAGCTCTTTCAGCGTTTTCAGATCCTGATAATTTGGCACTTCCATTGAGTGACAGATGGTGAGCCGCATTGCAAGCGCAAGTGCATCACCCGGAGCACCAACACGCTCCTGGATTCGCTTCTTGAGAAGGATTTTGAATTTTTCTTGCACGGTGGGGTATTTGATTGCATGTTTTACAAAACGGTGAAGCCAGAATAAAAACCATTCGGCGGTCCGGTAATAGTATGTCCCGGATAAATATGCCCGGTGTAAGAGAATATTATACACCCAATCGCGCGCTTTCTGCATCTGGTGCCCACGATTGCAGATATGGAATGTAGTGAGCACACTCAGGCAACATACTGGGTCGACCCGTGGTCGGGTGTGATCATAGTATACCTGAGAAGATTTTCGATCAGCATCTGCTTCTTTAGTTTCTTGCTAGGATTGTTTACATATGGGATTCCATCAGGGTTCACATAGGTCAGCATTTCGTCTAGCATCGAGTAGACTATGGTGTCATCGGGAGGCATGATCTGCAGTGCTAAAGAGGTGGTATCAAGGTCATCTGGTGAATTCATATTGGTGAAACTTGGCTTTTCTGAAACGATTTCAGCATACTTTTCCAAGAAGTTCTGAGGGTGCAGTATGAGAAGGAGCGAGGCTCAACGCACCTATGTAAAAGTTCCAGACTTTTCGGTGGATGTAATCTGGTTTCTGGAGTACAATGAGGTTCCTGACGCGGAATGATTAATACTTGCTTCACCTCTGCCGGAC